GAGTGGGTTGGGTTGCAGCAAGACAGAAGGTTGGTTATATAAACATAAGCTGAATTATTTACAGATTATAGGTAGGAAGCTATATTTTATAATCGATACGGAACTGAACAGCAGCCAGTATCATGAGGAGAACACTGAGGTGATGCGGTCATATTTACTAGAGCTGCTGAGAACTGTGGCGGCTGCAGCTTCACTGACTGAAGCTTGTTAATAGCAGAGCATTACAGTCATCTAATCTAGAGCTCATACAAGCATCAGCTAGCTCTTCTGCATCTGAGATGGAGAGCATACTGCAAAACTTAAGCAATATTTCTCAGATGAAGGAAGGCGGTTTTTGTGACATGGGAGATACGATGTTCAGTTGTTAAGCTGCTGTCTAATATAACACTCAGATCTTTTATAGTAGAGCTAACGCTAACTCTGTATCCCTCTAGTTGCAGGAGATCTTAGACCCAGTAAGCAGGTCCGGAATTCTGCAGATTTTTAGCCCATCATTGATTCTGTTTATTTATTTACTCACTAAATGTGTGTACATTTATATTTATTTAGTTTTTAAATTAATTTCAGTAATATTATTGACTAATATGAAAGTATTAATATGGTTTATTTACAGTGCAGTGTGTAAAGTAATAATTTCTGGCTTTTAGTAGAGAGTGCACCTAATTGGATTTGTGTTGTAAACATTAAATAAAAGTTAAAAAGGTATTCTTTTTTTATTTCATATATTAAGCTTTTAGTTATGAGACCATATCATTCAGCATATATCTGCAGATTTTTAACACAATTCTGCACAGAAACAGCAAAAAAAGACTGCAGATTCTGTCTGGCCCTAGCAATAAGTAATAATTCTGTTTTGTCGGAGTTTAAGAGAAGGAAATTGTTGGTCATCCAGTCTTGAACATCTCTAATACACTCAGTTAGTTTAGACAGTTCAGACATCTCTTCAGGTTTAGTTGAAATATATAATTGAGTATCATCTGCATAGCAGTGAAAGCTGATCTCATGTCTTCTAATAATGTCTCCCAGAGCGAGCATGTATATTGTAAACAGCAAAGGGCCTAAAACTGATCCTTGTGGCACCCCATACTGCACTGGGCTGACTGGCGAAGGCTCTCCATTATTATCCACACACTGGTAACGGTCAGCTGTGTATGACTCAAACCAGGGGTTTTCAACCTGTGGGGCACTATATAGAATTTGAGGGGTGCACTCAAGTAAATTCGGATGAATCTGATTAACTTTAGTTCCACAGCTAACTATCAGACACCTGCGATCCAGTAAAACATATAGAAATAAAATGGAGCGGGTGCTTTTTAAAATGAATGACGGTGAATGAAAGTAAAACTGGTCTGACAAGAGAGTGCCCTACTGAAATATATCAGCAGGATGCCCCTCTGGATATTTCACTAGTCTAGAACAATGGTTCTCAAAGTGGGGGTCGGGACCCCCCCGAGGGGTTGCGGTACAATGAAGGGGGGGTCGTCTGGTGATTTCCAAAAATCTATTTATTTTTATTAAACCATAAGAATTACCATATTTTATCCATAACCTACTGAAGAGATCAAAATAGTCGTTTATACCATATAGTCACTATGGTAGCTTATAGTTACTACTTCTATTGGATTGCAACCCCTGGGGTAATTACATTATATTAAAGACACAGCAATAGTGTCAGATGCAGCAGATTTCATAACACCTGGTTAAACTTTGTTGCCCATTTGCAGCTCTCATACATTAAAAAAATTAAAAGAAGAATAGACTTGGGTCCATTGGTGTGTGTGTGCTCCATTGCATGCAAGGTTCTGTATTTATAACCACCTCAGAATATATTGGGGGTCGCGACTCACTGGCATTGTCATTTTGGGGGTCGCGGCCTGAAAAGTTTGGGATCCCCTGGTCTAGAAGACACTACTGACTGTGTTTACATGGACATCAGTAATCTAGATTACTTGCCTTATCCTGAATATGACAGTAATATAATTGAGGTGTTTTGTGAAGTGCTTTTTGAATGTTGTGTCAGCAGGCTATCCACGGTTCGTGTCATTTTGGGTGTCTCATCTTTAATTTTCCATCTTTAACTGCATTTCGGCAGTTTCACTTTCACTCATGAACATTTCATTCATGCCTCCGTGACAAACTGGGGTGTTGGATGCATGAATGGAGCAAGGACTGCTGGAAGAGTGTTGTTTTGAAGAAATTTAATACCGCAGGCCGGAGAAACTTCCTCATTTTGTGATGTGTGTGTGTGTGTGTGTGTGTGTGTGTCTGCGATCCTTTACTGATAGCCGTGTGTGTGGATCTTGCTGCAAAAAGTCCTACATGATGGTGTTTACTCCAATAATGCCACTAATATGTGCATACACCATGTCTTAATTCCATTTCTGTTTAGTTCAGTGATGACTTCAGTCTGATTGAGGTTATCAAACATCACTGTTTACATGGAGACTCTTAATCAGAGTATTGTCTTATCATATTAATATCAAGAGTATTGGTGTCCATGTAAACGTACTCTATGTTTGACTCAACCACACTGTCAGGGCTCTCCTTAGCTTAGCGAAGCAGCATTATCTGTGTGTACTACATCACAAGCAAGTAGGCTACGGCTCACGGTTATTGACAGTGGAAGATGATTCACTGTTAGGCGTGTCAGGAATCCAAGCATGTTGTCCTCACAGAAACGGGCTCAGCCATCACACTGAGTCGGGTAACCTTTACATGTGTGTTTCAGTGTAATGTTTAAACGCAGCAAGTAATATTGAATGATGTTTGCACATGCATCATCATTTTGGCTTGTGAGTAAAATTGCACAAACTTAGGGGAGCGTGTGTCCTAAAAGGTGGAAAACCCCTGGCTTAAACCATTGTAGAGCCTGTCCCTGGACACCTGTAGAGTTTAAGCCATCTATGAGGATATTGTGGTCGATGGTGTTGAATGCAGCACTGAGATCAAGTGATACTAATAATGAGATGCAGCCTTGATCAGCAGCTAAGAGATAATCACTGGTTATTTTCACTAATGCGGTGTCTGTACTGTGATGAGGCCTGATACCTGACTCAAACACTTCACACTCAGTGTTCATCTGCGGTATGGAGCATAATTGGGCGGAGCCACGGTGCTCTACTTCCTGTTCATGGGAAGAGAGCTGATATGTGAGCACAGCGGATAGGTGTGTGTGTGTGTGTGTTAATGAATGAATGAGTGTCAGTCAGGTGAGCCAACTGATGTGTGTTTCAGGTGAGCTGATCTATGTGTGTGTGAGCTGACCTGTGTGTGTGTGTGTGTTTCAGGTGAGCTGTAGTGATGGTGCCCTGTGAGTCGCAGTTCAGCGCTCAGCTCCTCCTCCAGTGATCGGTGTGTGTGTGGTGTTCCTCGATGTCGGGTCTGATAGGTCGCGTGCGCTCGGCGTTCCGCAGCCGGCCGGACAGCTGGCACCTGAGCGACGCCGCCGCCTTCGACTTCTCGGAGGATCTGCAGGAGGAGGAGTCGCCGCGCTTCAGCCGGCTGCAGGTGGTGGTGTCCGGAGAGGCGGAGGAGCGTCCGGCTGTTAACGGCTCCGCGCGCAGCACACTGACGGACGATGATGACTCTTTGCTGGGGGCCTCCACTGGCTCCACGGGACCCGAGGCCTGCGACGGCTGCCAGAGGAACCGAGAACAGCAGCGGCGCCGCCGGGTCATGCGCAAACTGGGCGGAGCCGCGGTGCTCTACTTCCTGTTTATGGTGGGAGAGCTGATAGGTGAGCGTGCACACACACACACTGCGTTCCACTCTACTTTTACCTCCCTTGTTCCCTTAAGTGAATTCCTGCCACCATCCTAAAGTGTGTTCCACTCCATCAAGTGAACTTGGATAGCTTGCATGGACATACCCTCCCTTGATCCCTTGATTTTGACAGAGAGAGCGAGTCGGCTTCATATGTTCACTCCAGCACTATGTTCACTATAGTGTAGTTCCCAAGTGCTCAAGCATTAAGGGCACTCTATTTAAACCGGATGTTCCCCCAGTAGTGGACACAATGACAATCTGGGGGACGTTAGTGAAGGAAGGACGTAAAGACTTGACTAGAATGCAGCCACACACACACACACACACACACACACACACACACACACACACAACTGACTCTAGCTGTGTCTGAAATCACACACTTCACTACTATTTAGTATGTTAAAACCGTATGTGAGCCGTGTAGTGTGTCTTAATTCACAGTATTGTAAAACCAGTCTGCAAGAAGTCGCCGGATGATCTACAGCCACTGCTGAGATTCTGAAGTGTGCATCTGATGGAGGCTACGCTATCCCATGATGCACCATGAGAGAATTTATCAATGTTAGTGAAGCGACTCAACGGACGTGGCCAGGTCATGTGATTATCATAAATGGCAGATGAAGATCGTCTGAATCACATTCACACTATACAAGCACACTTTCCCTATGGTTGTGTAGTGAACTTGCATTGAAACGTAGTGCATACTCCAGTAGTAGGTGATTTGGGACGCAGCCTTTGTGTGTGTGTGTGTGTGTGTGTGTGTGTGTGTGTGTGTGTGTGTGTGTGTGTGTGTGTTGTGTTCAGGAGGGTATGTGGCCAACAGTCTGGCCATCATGACGGACGCTCTACACATGCTGACGGATCTGATCGGGATCATCGTGTCTCTGCTGGCGCTCTGGCTCTCCGCGAAACCTCCGACGTACAGATTCACCTTCGGCCTCCATCGACTGGGTGAGTCTCAGCCCGCACTGATTTACACCTGCTGGCATAGGTGTGTGTGATTGGTCGGTACATTTATTAGTGACACTACAACAGTAATATATTTCTGCTTGTGTTGAACTTACTATGCATGTGGGACTTTTATTTTGAAAACGGCGCTATAGAGCTGTCAGATGGTGCAGTCAGCCTGCCGTCAGAACACAAAATGCTGGATATACAGATTATAATGTAATCAGCACCATCCCTATGAGGCGCGCAGCCTGTGTCTTTTGTTAGATTGTGGCACAGGTGTCGATCTCAGTTCCTGGAGGGCCGCAGCTCTGCACAGTTTCAATTAAACACACCTGATCAAACTCACTGAGCACTTTAGGCTTGTTTGATACCTACAGACTGTGTTGGAACTAAACTCAGTGTATGTTTGTAATGAGGCAGCAAACACATGTGAACTGCTGTGTGTTGAAGTGTTTAGTGCACGTTTCTGCATCATGACAGCAGTCAGCTGGGATTTTCTGGAGTGTAAGTGTTTCAGAGTACATCACGCTGAGTGTGTGTGTGTGTGTGTGTGTGTGTGTGTGTGTGTGTGTGTGTGTGTGTTCAGAGGTGTTGTCCGCAGGCATCAGTGTGTTGCTGATCTACATTCTGACCGGTGTGTTGTTGAACGAAGCGGCTCAGAGGACGATCCATCAGGACTTCACTATTGACGGTGATGTGATGCTGATCACGGCTGCGGTCGGAGTCGCTGTAAACCTGCTGTGAGTCTGGAACACACACACACACACACACACACACACACACACACACACACACACACACACACACACAATACACTGTAAAAAAGAAAAGAGTTACGACATTCCACCAAGTTTTGTCTGTGAAAATGAAATGTTGTGTGTGTGTGTGTGTGTGTGTGTGTGTGTGTTTGCACCAGCACAGAATCTCATAGTCACCTGCTGTCCATCTGATCCATGTGACTGTATGCAGGCGCTCGTAAACACGGGAGTAAAGTCCACTGATGACTGTAGTGTTCCTCAATGCAGTGTGTGTGTGTGTGTGTGTGTGTGTGTGTGTGTGTGTGTGTGTTGTTGTTGTTGTTGTTGTTTGAGACACATCTACATTGTATTAGCACTATGTAAATAAAAGCGAGTTGAATTATGTGTGTGTGCGCATGTTACAGTCTACATTGTAAAAGTGTTCTAGAAATAAAGATGAAGTGTGTGTGTTTGTGTGTGTGTGTGTGTGTGCGCGCAGAATGGGCTTCCTCCTCAATCAGTCCGGCCATCTTCATTCTCATGGGCACGGGCACGGTCACTCTCATGGCTCAGCAGGTCATGGGTCATCGGATCAGGGGTCATCAGGTCAGGGTCAGCGGGGTCACGGCAGTCTGGCGGTGCGAGCGGCCTTCATCCACGCGCTGGGAGATCTGGTTCAGAGCGTGGGCGTCCTCATCGCTGCGTACATCGTCAGGTTTAAGGTGCGACACTGGAGAACACATGAGAACACATCTGAACTGCTGACTGATGCTCATCATGACTGACCTGTGTGTGTGTGTGTGTGTGTGTGTGTGTGTCAGCCGGAGTATAAGCTTGCGGACCCCATATGCACGTACCTGTTCTCGGTTCTGGTGCTCTTCAGCACATTCCAGATCATCAGAGACACCGGCATCATCCTGCTGGAGGGTGAGACACCGCTCTGTCTGTGTGTGTGTGTGTGTGTTTTAGCGTGTATGTGTGTGTATTAGTATCGGTAGGTGTATATGTGGGGTTATGCGTGTGTATGTGTTGTATGTATATACTGTATATATACATATGCATGAATACGTGTGTTTGTGTGCTTATATTGTGTGGTTGTGTGTGCGTGTGCGTGTGTGTGTGTATTAATATCAGTATCAGTAGGTGTATATGTGGCCATGTGTGAGTGATTTATGCATGTATATTTCGATGTGTGTGTGTGTGTATATATACTGTATGTAAGCATATGCATGAGTGTGTGTAAATGTGTGCTTGTGCATTTATCTGTGTGTGTTTGTGTGTGTGTGTGTGTGTGTGTGTGTGTGTGCTCCTTATGCTCTTGTTTATGTTTGTATGTGTGCTTAAGCATGTGTGTGTTTCATTGTGTGTCAGTGTATTGCTATGTGTGTATGTATATGTGTGGTCATGCATGTGTGTGTGTGCTTTATGCATGTTTGTTTATGCTTGATTTTGTGTGTGTGTATAAATACACGTGTGTTTTTACGTGTGTCGGTCTGTGTTCTTGTGTGTGTTAGTGTGTTAATGCATGTGTGTGTGTGTGTGTGTGTGCGCAGGTGTACCGCGTCACATGGACGTGTCGGTCATCAGAGCAGAGCTGCTGAAGCTGCAGCATGTGGAGTGTGTGGAGGAGCTGAAGCTGTGGGCGCTGACGGCCGATAAGACTGCAGCCATCGTTCACCTGCAGCTCGGTGAGTGTGTGTGAAATGAAATGTACGACAATTTCTAAAACTCTTTCTCCACATGGTCATTATGGGGGATTGTGTGTAGAATGTTCAGGAAATCAATCAGTTTACTCCATTTTGGAATATTTCCATTTTGGCGCTATCAATGCTCTCAACATGCACTGTATATACAAAATACATCACATACAGCATACAGTATATAAACAGGATACAACACACACACACACACACACGAGACAAGATCCACACATGATAATACCATCCCAAAACTAATTCATCATCACAGACATAATCAACATGAAGCTCATCTGTGATATAATCAGCCATATGTAATCTCTGTAGCTCGTGATGTCAGACTAATG